ATGAGTTGGTTTGAAACCAGTATGGGATTCTGAGATACATTACCAAGGAAATTATTACAAGATAAATCCTTTGCTTCATTGAACACATACAACAATACATATTTCTACTGAGATCAGTGACCTTTGATGTGTATCACCAGTGATCAGTCAAGTAGAAACAGTCAAAATATTTTATCAGATTTTCTCAATTTTTGCATGATATTTTCATACAGGACATCTGTTGTTCAAACTCAGGGAAGACTTTATACTGATGAATAAGGTGACCAAGTTTGATAAAGTTTGGAATAGAATTAGTAAAGTTATTATGCACACAATAACAATTATTAACGACGACGACGACAACAACAACGACAACGCCGGACAAAATTTGTCCCTTAATATACCTTTCCCTTCCATCTTTGATGGTACGGGCAAGGTAAAAATATTAAGTTCTGAGTTAGTCTGCAATCAATCATTGAAATTATACGTACATCTGACAAGTTGAGAATATTTAAATATATTAATACGGCAGCGGTAGATGAAACAGAGAGGTGATAAGTAAAGTATGATTTAGTACATAAAAGTTCAACTTCGATAAAATATTACGTGAGTCATGTAAGCTCTTCGAATGTTTATATAAAAAGAACATTTCTAAATTCAATGTTAATTAAAAACCCAAAATTGGCACATAAAGTTGAGTATTTATGAAATTCATTTTTGGCAAATGATCAATAGCACAGATATTTTTAAACAAACTTTCACTGCAAATCAAGTGTGATATTTGCAAAAAAACAAAACAAAACAAAACAATCAAAACTGCTTTGAACAAATGAAAAGGACAGGACAATAATTCAAAAGTACTACAGGGGGGGGGGGGGGTAATCTTGTACAGTTTTCACTATGATACTTGATGCAGAGCATTCCAAGGAAATTTATTGGTAATATTATCAATATGATGTATTGAAAATATAATTGTGATAATATTTCAACAGAAACAAACCTTGCTCTGGAACAGCAACATTAATGAAGAGCCAAGACTGTACAGCACTAGTACAGACACAATTTAAACTTGTTTGCCTACTCTATGCGCAGTATTCATAAAATAATTTGTTATTCATCGGAAAATATTCTACTCTGTTGCTATAGCAACTTATGTTCAGCCACATTTCTTAACAGGTAAATATGAACAATATGGTTTTTAAAAAGGTTATTAAGTATGTGAATATTCATAACTTTGACTTAAATGCAGTAAAAGTATTTTGTACATATCGTACAAGTGGACTGATACAGCGCTATTTTTTGTGATGCATTATCTGAGAGCTATCTGATCTAGAGTATAGAAGAAGTTAGATTAAACTTATTGTCGCAAAATGAACAAATCTGAAAGCAGTCCATCCACAGTATATACATATAAAATACCGAAACAATCAGACCAGCCATTTTTTTTGTCTAACAATTTCAAAAAATATTTGGAATGTTCCATTCAGATTGGATCCTGCCAATCCCCCCCCCCCTTGAGCCAACTTTATTGTCACCATATATTTATTGTCACTATAGTTATAAAGTGTCTTGTGGAAAAATATTGAAAAATGTTAAAAATACAAAAATATGTATGTACAGCAGCAGAATAGTCCCAAAAAAAAGGGAATTTATTTCAAGGAAAACAAACAGGACTAAAGTCATTTTTAAGGCTCAGAATTAAAGAAAAGCTCCATGGTTCAAATAAAAAGTGATGTAATCTTTAAAAAAACAACTTCCACTTTTTATAGGAACAATAGCAAAATTTACATTGCTCACAGTGCATTGGTCTAGTATGAAAAGTAGTGCATGTAGTAGTGACTATAGCAGCTGTAGTTTCGTACACCAGGGTCATGTTTTGATGATCAAAGATATTCAGATCGTCAAAACACGCTGCGAAACCATAGCTATTTCTACAGTGCCATAATATATTTCAAAACAAAATGGGACAATAAGGGCTGGAGGAATTCATTATTTCGCATATATTTCAGATGATAATATTTTTTTTATTAATGTCTTTTTCAATTCTTTTCATAATACAATCACAAAAGAAATTCTTTTTTTCACTCACATTTTCTACCGACAAAAATATTCCAGCCAAGCCCCTAGTTGGAATTTTCAAGAAAAAAAATTGAGAAAGTGTGTAATTGCAATTAAGGTAGAGATGCACTTTATTTGTGAATTTCAATCAAAAATAGTTTTTTTCGTTTTTTATATAGATTTTTATCTAAAGAACATTCTGTGAAAATTTGACCAATGAATTCTTATTGGAACACCGTTAAAATTGCTGTTTATTTTCTGGTTAAAAATAAAAAACACTCACACGTGGCAATGTTTATGTCCAATTGCCTAATTTGCATGAGTAACCAAATAACAAGACCTTTGATTGACAATATGCAAATCGAGATTGTACGGGTCATAGTTCATTCAATTCACGTGCATGTGCAATTATTCTCAAATCAGTTCTCGCTCGCTAGCAAACCAAACATTATATTTCCTCAGCGTTTTTTCTTAATTTTTATCATTACATTATGCGTGGTGTGAAAAGAAAGAGAGGTAGAAAGAAGATTCAGATGATTTCTATGTCGGAAGATGCAAAAGCTACACCAAAGGCATCAGCCCACCGAACGAAAAACAAATCGATGTGAGCGTCCAAACATGACTT